TCCCATCAACTATGACATACATGTTGCAGGTTCCCTTCCCATCAACTATGACACACATGTTGGAGGTTCCACTCCCATCAACTATGACACAAATGTTGCAGGTTCTCCTTCCCATCAACTATGACATACATGTGGCAGGTTCTCCTTCCCATCAACTATGACACACATGATGCAGGTTCCCCTTCCCATCAACTATGACACACATGTTGCAGGTTCTCCTTCCCATCAACTATGACATACATGTTGCAGGTTCCCTTCCCATCAACTATGACATACATGTTGCAGGTTCCTCTCCCATCAACTATGACACACATGTTGCAGGTTCTCCTTCCCATCATCTATGACATACATGTTGCAGGTTCCCTTCCCATCAACTATGACACACATGTTGCAGGTTCTCCTTCGCATCAACTATGACATACATGTTGCAGGTTCCTCTCCCATCAACTATGACATACATGTTGCAGGTTCTCCTTCCCATCAACTACGACACACATGTTGCAGGTTCTCCTTCCCATCAACTATGACACACATGTGTCAGGTTCTCCTTCCCATCAACTAAGACACACATGTTGCGGGTTCCCCTTCCTATCAACTATGAAACACATGTGGCAGGTTCTCCTTCGCATCAACTATGACATACATGTTGCAGGTTCTCCTTCCCATCAACTATGACACACATGTGTCAGGTTCTCCTTCGCATCAACTATGACATACATGTTGCAGGTTCTCCTTCGCATCAACTATGACATACATGTTGCAGGTTCTCCTTCCCATCAACTATGACACACATGTTGCAGGTTCCTCTCCCATCAACTATGACACACATGTGTCAGGTTCCCTTCCCATCAACTATGACATACATGTTGCAGGTTCCCTTCCCATCAACTATGACATACATGTTGCAGGTTCCCTTCCCATCAACTATGACATACATGTTGCAGGTTCCCTTCCCATCAACTATGACATACATGTTGCAGGTTCTCCTTCCCATCAACTATGACACACATGTGTCAGGTTCTCCTTCCCATCAACTATGACACACGTGTTGCAGGTTCTCCTTCCCATCATCTATGACATACATGTTGCAGGTTCCCTTCCCATCAACTATGACACACATGTTGCAGGTTCTCCTTCCCATCAACTATGACATACATGTTGCAGGTTCCTCTCCCATCAACTATGACATACATGTTGCAGGTTCTCCTTCCCATCAACTATGACACACATGTTGCGGGTTCCCCTTCCCATCAACTATGACACACATGTGTCAGGTTCCCTTCCCATCAACTATGACATACATGTTGCAGGTTCCCTTCCCATCAACTATGACATACATGTTGCAGGTTCCCTTCCCATCAACTATGACATACATGTTGCAGGTTCTCCTTCCAATCAACTATGACACACATGTGTCAGGTTCTCCTTCCCATCAACTATGACACACATGTCAGGTTCTCCTTCCCATCAACTATGACATACATGTTGCAGGTTCCCTTCCCGTCAACTATGACAGACATTTTGCAGGTTCCTCTCCCATCAACTATGACATACATGTTGCAGGTTCTCCTTCCCATCAATTATGACATACATGTTGCAGGTTCCCTTCCCATCAACTATGACACACATGTTGGAGGTTCCACTCCCATCAACTATGACACACATGTTGGAGGTTCTCCTTCCCATCAACTATGACATACATGTGGCAGGTTCTCCTTCCCATCAACTATGACACACATGATGCAGGTTCCCCTTCCCATCAACTATGACACACATGTTGCAGGTTCTCCTTCCCATCAACTATGACATACATGTTGCAGGTTCCCTTCCCATCAACTATGACATACATGTTGCAGGTTCCTCTCCCATCAACTATGACACACATGTTGCAGGTTCTCCTTCCCATCATCTATGACATACATGTTGCAGGTTCCCTTCCCATCAACTATGACACACATGTTGCAGGTTCTCCTTCGCATCAACTATGACATACATGTTGCAGGTTCCTCTCCCATCAACTATGACATACATGTTGCAGGTTCTCCTTCCCATCAACTACGACACACATGTTGCAGGTTCTCCTTCCCATCAACTATGACACACATGTTGCAGGTTCTCCTTCCCATCAACTAAGACACACATGTTGCGGGTTCCCCTTCCTATCAACTATGAAACACATGTTGCAGGTTCTCCTTCGCATCAACTATGACATACATGTTGCAGGTTCTCCTTCCCATCAACTATGACACACATGTGTCAGGTTCTCCTTCGCATCAACTATGACATACATGTGGCAGGTTCTCCTTCCCATCAACTATGACACACATGATGCAGGTTCCCCTTCCCATCAACTATGACACACATGTTGCAGGTTCTCCTTCCCATCAACTATGACATACATGTTGCAGGTTCCCTTCCCATCAACTATGACATACATGTTGCAGGTTCCTCTCCCATCAACTATGACACACATGTTGCAGGTTCTCCTTCCCATCATCTATGACATACATGTTGCAGGTTCCCTTCCCATCAACTATGACACACATGTTGCAGGTTCTCCTTCGCATCAACTATGACATACATGTTGCAGGTTCCTCTCCCATCAACTATGACATACATGTTGCAGGTTCTCCTTCCCATCAACTACGACACACATGTTGCAGGTTCTCCTTCCCATCAACTATGACACACATGTTGCAGGTTCTCCTTCCCATCAACTAAGACACACATGTTGCGGGTTCCCCTTCCTATCAACTATGAAACACATGTTGCAGGTTCTCCTTCGCATCAACTATGACATACATGTTGCAGGTTCTCCTTCCCATCAACTATGACACACATGTGTCAGGTTCTCCTTCGCATCAACTATGACATACATGTTGCAGGTTCTCCTTTGCATCAACTATGACATACATGTTGCAGGTTTTCCTTCCCATCAACTATGACACACATGTTGCAGGTTCCTCTCCCATCAACTATGACACACATGTGTCAGATTCCCTTCCCATGAACTATGACATACATGTTGCAGGTTCCCTTCCCATCAACTATGACATACATGTTGCAGGTTCCCTTCCCATCAACTATGACATACATGTTGCAGGTTCTCTTCCCATCAACTATGACATACATGTTGCAGGTTCTCCTTCCAATCAACTATGACACACATGTGTCAGGTTCTCCTTCCCATCAACTATGACACACGTGTCAGGTTTTCCTTCCCATCAACTATGACATACGTGTTGCAGGTTCCCTTCCCGTCAACTATGACACACATTTTGCAGGTTCCTCTCCCATCAACTATGACACACATGTGGCAGGTTCTCCTTCCCATCAACTATGACACACATGTGGCAGGTTTTCCTTCCCATCAACTATGACACACATGATGCAGGTTCTCCTTCCCATCAACTATGACACACATGATGCAGGTTCCCCTTCCCATCAACTATGACACACATGTTGCAGGTTCTCCTTCTCATCAACTATGACATACATGTTGCAGGTTCCCTTCCCATCAACTATGACACACATGTTGGAGGTTCCTCTCCCATCAACTATGACACACATGTTGCAGGTTCTCCTTCCCATCAACTATGACATACATGTTGCAGGTTCTCCTTCCCATCAACTATGACACACATGATGCAGGTTCCCCTTCCCATCAACTATGACACACATGTTGCAGGTTCTCCTTCCCATCAACTATGACATACATGTTGCAGGTTCCCTTCCCATCAACTATGACATACATGTTGCAGGTTCCTCTCCCATCAACTATGACACATATGTTGCAGGTTCTCCTTCCCATCATCTATGACATACATGTTGCAGGTTCCCTTCCCATCAACTATGACACACATGTTGCAGGTTCTCCTTCCCATCAACTATGACATACATGTTGCAGGTTCCTCTCCCATCAACTATGACATACATGTTGCAGGTTCTCCTTCCCATCAACTACGACACACATGTTGCAGGTTCTCCTTCCCATCAACTATGACACACATGTTGCAGGTTCTCCTTCCCATCAACTAAGACACACATGTTGCGGGTTCCCCTTCCTATCAACTATGAAACACATGTGGCAGGTTCTCCTTCGCATCAACTATGACATACATGTTGCAGGTTCTCCTTCCCATCAACTATGACACACATGTGTCAGGTTCTCCTTCGCATCAACTATGACATACATGTTGCAGGTTCTCCTTCGCATCAACTATGACATACATGTTGCAGGTTCTCCTTCCCATCAACTATGACACACATGTTGCAGGTTCTCCTTCCCATCAACTATGACACACATGTGTCAGGTTCCCTTCCCATCAACTATGACATACATGTTGCAGGTTCCCTTCCCATCAACTATGACATACATGTTGCAGGTTCCCTTCCCATCAACTATGACATACATGTTGCAGGTTCCCTTCCCATCAACTATGACATACATGTTGCAGGTTCTCCTTCCAATCAACTATGACACACATGTGTCAGGTTCTCCTTCCCATCAACTATGACACACGTGTCAGGTTCTCCTTCCCATCAACTATGACATACGTGTTGCAGGTTCCCTTCCCGTCAACTATGACACACATGTTGCAGGTTCCTCTCCCATCAACTATGACACACATGTTGCAGGTTCTCCTTCCCATCAACTATGACACACATGTTGCAGGTTCTCCTTCCCATCAACTATGACACATGTGTCAGGTTCTCCTTCCCATCAACTATGACATGTGTCAGGTTCCCCTTGCCATCAACAATGACACACATGTTGCAGGTTCTCCTTCCCATCAACTATGACACACATGTTGCAGGTTCTCCTTCCCATCAACTATGACATACATGTGGCAGGTTCTCCTTCCCATCAACTATGACACACGTGTCAGGTTCTCCTTCCCATCAACTATGACACACATGTTGGAGGTTCTCCTTCCCATCAACTATGACACACATGTTGCAGGTTCCCCTTCCCATCAACTATGACATACATGTTGCAGGTTCTCCTTCCCACAACTTGGGCATGCTGTGGAGCAGCGGTACCTCACGTCTACACAAGACAGGTCAGGAACGTCCAACATTGTCCCTCACATGATATACAGGACAAACAGTAGCTGACAATGGATGCTTTAAGATGCTAGTTATATGATCTTCCCGGGAAGTTTGGCTGTGTTCAGCAAAACATAGGAATACCCCAACATGTCCATGGAGAAGTGAAACACACTCTTCACATATGATTCTCAAAAAAATCCTTTTAGTCTGTCAGCCATCATTTTGACACCTGTTTTTCGTAATTATGTTCCAATAAACATACAAACACAGGACGAAAATTGGTTATTATCGAATAATAATCATTGATCTAACTACAAATACAAGTTTTGTAATATTTCATGTCTGAATGAAACAATTTTCTTCATCGATCGTCATGTGATTGCGTGTTTAATGGAAAATTATTTTGAAAAAACGGGTGCCAAAATGATGGTTGACGTACTAGAAAAATGCTTCAGTGAAACACTCTTGAAGTTGTGCTGTTCTTTTCATAGGTCATCAGCCATCAAGATTTTGATAAAGTTTTTCGGAGACAAACGTAAGGTATGAAGTTTCATATTTTTCTATAGTCACAGTTTTTCACTACATTTATTCAAAGGATGTATTTTGTCTGTAACACCTAGAACTGACAGTCCACACCTAGAACTGTGTCGGTCATACCTAGAACTGTGACAGTCACACCTCGGACTGTGACAGTCCACACCTAGAACTGTGACAGTCACACCTCGGACTGTGACAGTCCACACCTAGAACTGTGACAGTCCACACCTAGAACTGTGTCGGTCATACCTAGAACTGACAGTCCAAACCTGGAACTGTGACAGTCCACACCTAGAACTGTGTTGGTCATACCTAGAACTGTGAAGGTCACACCTCGGACTGTGACAGTCCACACCTAGAACTGTGACATTCCACACCTAGAACTGTGTCGGTCATACCTAGAACTGACAGTCCAAACCTGGAACTGTGACAGTCCACACCTAGAACTGTGTTGGTCATACCTAGAACTGTGACAGTCACACCTGGAACTGTGACAGTCATACCTAGAACTGTGTCGGTCATACCTAGAACTGACAGTCCACACCTGGAACTGTGACAGTCCACACCTAGAACTGTGTCGGTCATACCTAGAACTGTGTTGGTCACACCTGGAACTGTGACAGTCATACCTAGAACTGTGACAGTCATACCTAGAACTGTGTTGGTCATACCTAGAACTGTGACAACCCCCCCTAGAACTTTGACAGTCACACCTCGGACTGTGACAGTCCACACCTAGAACTGTGACAGTCCACACCTAGAACTGTGTTGGTCATACCTAGAACTGTGACAGTCACACCTTGGACTGTGACAGTCACACCTAGAACTGTGACAGTCACACCTAGAACTGTGACAGTCACGCCAAGAACTGTGACAGTCACACCTAGAACTGTGACAGTCATGCCTAGAACTGTGACAGTCACACCTAGAACTGTGACAGTCATGCCTAGAACTGTGACGGTCCACACCTAGAACTGTGACGGTCAATCCTTGAACTGTGACAGTCACGCCTAGAACTGTGACAGTCCAAACCTAGAACTGTGACAGTCACACCTAGAACTGTGACAGTCCACACCTAGAACTGTGACAGTCCAAACCTAGAACTGTGACAGTCACACCTTGGACTGTGACAGTCCACAACTAGAACTGTGACGGTCACACCTTGAACTGTGACAGTCACGCCTAGAACTGTGACAGTCCACACCTACAACTGTGACGGTCAATCCTTGAACTGTGACAGTCACGCCTAGAACTGTGACAGTCCACACCTAGAACTGTGTTGGTCATACCTAGAACTGTGACAGTCACACCTGGAACTGTGACAGTCACACCTAGAACTGTGACAGTCATACCTAGAACTGTGTTGGTCATACCTAGAACTGTGACGACCCCCCCTAGAACTGTGACAGTCCAAACCTAGAACTGTGACAGTCACACCTCGGACTGTGACAGTCCACACCTAGAACTGTGACAGTCCACACCTAGAACTGTGTTGGTCATACCTAGAACTGTGACAGTCACACCTTGGACTGTGACAGTCACACCTAGAACTGTGACAGTCACACCTAGAACTGTGACAGTCACGCCAAGAACTGTGACAGTCACACCTAGAACTGTGACAGTCACGCCTAGAACTGTGACAGTCACACCTAGAACTGTGACAGTCATGCCTAGAACTGTGACGGTCCACACCTAGAACTGTGACGGTCAATCCTTGAACTGTGACAGTCACGCCTAGAACTGTGACAGTCCAAACCTAGAACTGTGACAGTCACACCTAGAACTGTGACAGTCCACACCTAGAACTGTGACAGTCCAAACCTAGAACTGTGACAGTCACACCTTGGACTGTGACAGTCCACAACTAGAACTGTGACGGTCACACCTTGAACTGTGACAGTCACGCCTAGAACTGTGACAGTCCACACCTACAACTGTGACGGTCAATCCTTGAACTGTGACAGTCACGCCTAGAACTGTGACAGTCCACACCTAGAACTGTGACAGTCCACACCTAGAACTGTGACAGTCACACCTAGAACTGTCACAGTCACACCTAGAACTGTGACAGTCACGCCTAGAACTGTGACGGTCCACACCTAGAACTGTGATGGTCACACCTTGAACTATGACAGTCACGCCTAAAACTGTGACAGTCCACACCTAGAACTGTGACAGTCATACCTAGAACTGACAGTCCGAACCTGGAACTGTGACAGTCACACCTAGAACTGTGACAGTCCATACCTAGAACTGACAGTCCACACCTGGAACTGTGACAGTCCATACCTAGAACTGTGTCGGTCATACCTAGAACTGTGACAGTCACACCTGAAACTGTGACAGTCACACCTAGAACTGTGTCGGTCATACCTAGAACTGTGACAGTCCACACCTGGAACTGTGACAGTCCACACCTAGAACTGTGTTGGTCATACCTAGAACTGTGACAGTGACACCTGGAACTGTGACAGTCCATACCGAGAACTGTGACAGTCACACCTGGGACTGTGACGGTCCACACCTAGAACTTTGACGGTCACACCTAGAACTGTGACAGTCACACCTAGAACTGACAGTCCACATCTGGAACTGTGACAGTCCACACCTAGAACTGTGACGGTCACACCTAGAACTGTGACAGTCACGCCTAGAACTGTGACAGTCACACCTAGAACTGTGACAGTCATGCCTAGAACTGTGACAGTCCACACCTAGAACTGTGACGGTCAATCTTTGAACTGTGACAGTCACGCCTAGAACTGTGACAGTCCACACCTAGAACTGTGACAGTCCACACCTAGAACTGTGACAGTCACGCCTAGAACTGTGACAGTCACACCTAGAACTGTGACAGTCACGCCTAGAACTGTGATGGTCCACACCTAGAACTGTGATGGTCACACCTAGAACTATGACAGTCACGCCTAAAACTGTGACAGTCCACAGCTAGAACTGTGACAGTCATACCTAGAACTGACAGTCCGAACCTGGAACTGTGACAGTCACACCTAGAACTGTGACAGTCCATACCTAGAACTGACAGTCCACACCTGGAACTGTGACAGTCCATACCTAGAACTGTGTAGGTCATACCTAGAACTGTGACAGTCACACCTGGAACTGTGACAGTCCACACCTAGAACTGTGTCGGTCATACCTAGAACTGTGACAGTCCACACCTAGAACTTTGACAGTCCACACCTAGAACTGTGACAGTCATGCCTAGAACTGTGACAGTCACACCTAGAACTGTGACAGTCACACCTAGAACTGTGACAGTCCACACCTAGAACTGTGACGGTCACACCTGGGACTGGGACAGTCTATACCAAGAACTGTGACGGTCCACACCTTGAACTGTGTCGGTCACACCTGGGACTGTGACGGTCACACCTAGAACTGTGACAGTCCACACCTTGAACTGTGACGGTCACACCTGGGACTGGGACAGTCATACCTAGAACTGTGTCGGTCACACCTGGGACTGTGACAGTCACACCTAGAACTGTTTCGGTCACACCCGGGACTGTGACAGTCACACCTAGAACTGTGACGGTCACACCTGGGACTGTGACAGTCATACCTAGAACTGTGTCGGTCACACCTGGGACTGTGACAATCACACCTAGAACTGTGACAGTCACACCTAGAACTGTGACAGTCACACCTAGAACTGTGACAGTCACACCTAGAACTGTGATGGTCACACCTGGGACTATGACGGTCACACCTAGAACTGTGACAGTCCACACCTAGAACTGTGACAGTCCACACATAGAACTGTGACAGTCACACCTAGAACTGTGACGGTCACACCTAGAACGGTGACAGTCCACATCTGGGACTGGGACAGTCCACACCTAGAACTGTGACAGTCACACCTGGAATATTTTTCCAGTGTGACCCCCAGTTTATCCACCTATTCAATGTCGACCGAGATGACTTAAATGAAACTGTGTTGTCATAGATACATGTGTTTTGACAGAGCCACCCGGTCTGGCCACAAGTGCCTTATTCAATACGGAAACGTCCTGCATTTGAGTTACCATGGTTACAAGAAGAACTTGGAGACAAAGCAGAGCTCAGCACGACTCTGACTGATCTGAATGTGCTCCACACACTCGTTAAGTAAGTGCATTCACGTCACAAAAACTTAATGAATCCTTTGCATGCATCTAGTGAATAGAACTATTCTCAAGTTATATTTGTGAGGATATTAGTCTTAAGATGTAGAAGGTATTGCATTGATATATATATATTTAAAAATATAGCGATCAGCCAGTCCGTCTGTCCGTCCGTCCGTCTGTCTGTCCGTCCGTCTGTCATCATTTCCTTTTCCGGGGCAGAACTCGAAAACAATTTGGTGTATTTGATCGAAACTTGGCAAATTTATCAGTCACATACTGAAGTTGTGCTTTTGCTATTAAGGAATTTTAGAATTTTTTATTTTTTACGTTTCCATGGCAACAAGTTGGATTTAAGTTTTAATATAGGGTGGGTTCACTTATGGAGTATAACAAATTAACAGGCTGCAGTGTGTTCTGTGTAATGCTACAGTGTGTAGTGTGTGTCAGGCTGCAGTGTGTACTGTGTAATGCTACAGTGTGTAGTGTGTGTCAGGCTGCAGTGTGTACTGTGTAATGCTACAGTGTGTAGTGTGTGTCAGGCTGCAGTGTGAACTGTGTAATGCTACAGTGTGTAGTGTGTGTCAGGCTGCAGTGTGTACTGTGTAATGCTACAGTGTGTAGTGTGTGTCAGGCTGCTGTGTAATGCTACAGTGTGTATTGTGTGTCAGGCTACAGTGTGTACTGTGTAATGCTACAGTGTGTAGTGTGTGTCAGGCTACAGTGTGTACTGTGTAATGCTACAGTATGTAGTGTGTGTCAGGCTGCAGTGTGTGCTGTGTAATGCTACAGTGTGTAGTGTGTGTCAGGCTGCAGTGTGTACTGTGTAATGCTACAGTGTGTAGTGTGTGTCAGGCTGCTGTGTGTACTGTGTAATGCTACAGTGTGTAGTGTGTCAGGCTGCAGTGTGTACTGTGTAATGCTACAGTGTGTAGTGTCTCAGGCTGCAGTGTGTGCTGTGTAATGCTACAGTGTGTAGTGTGTGTCAGGCTGCAGTGTGTACTGTGTAATGCTACAGTGTGTAGTGTGTGTCAGGCTGCTGTGTGTACTGTGTAATGCTACAGTGTGTAGTTTGTCAGGTTGCAGTGTGTACTGTGTAATGCTACAGTGTGTAGTGTGTGTCAGGCTGCAGTGTGTACTGTGTAATGCTACAGTGTGTAGTGTGTGTCAGGCTGCAGTGTGTACTGTGTAATGCTACAGTGTGTAGTGTGTGTCAGGCTGCTGTGTAATGCTACAGTGTGTAGTGTGTGTCAGGCTGCAGTGTGTACTGTGTAATGCTACAGTGTGTAGTGTGTGTCAGGCTGCAGTGTGTACTGTGAAATGCTACAGTGTGTAGTGTGTGTCAGGCTGCTGTGTAATGCTACAGTGTGTAGTGTGTGTCAGGCTTCAGTGTGTGCTGTGTAATGCTACAGTATGTAGTGTGTGTCAGGCTACAGTGTGTGCTGTGTAATGCTACAGTATGTAGTGTGTGTCAGGCTTCAGTGTGTGCTGTGTAATGCTACAGTATGTAGTGTGTGTCAGGCTACAGTGTGTGCTGTGTAATGCTACAGTGTGTAGTGTGTGTCAGGCTACAGTGTGTGCTGTGTAATGCTACAGTGTGTAGTGTGTGTCAGGCTGCTGTGTAATGCTACAGTGTGTAGTGTGTGTCAGGCTGCAGTGTGTACTGTGTAATGCTACAGTGTGTAGTGTGTGTCAGGCTACAGTGTGTGCTGTGTAATGCTACAGTGTGAAGTGTGTGTCAGGCTTCAGTGGATACTTTGTTGATAGGGTGGATGAGTACAGCTTGCTGGAGCTGTGGAAGGCTACTGGTCACTCGCTGACCGATGTGACCACCTGGTACTTGAAGGCCTATGATGAGGCGGTGAAGGAGCTCAGCATGACACTGCAGAACACGGGGGTGAAGCCAGCAGGTAGAACAGCCCCACCTGCACAGAACAAGGGGGTGAAGCCAGCAGGGGGAACAGCCCCACCTGCACAGAAGGTGAAGACATTGTTGTTTAAATCTGCATGTGTGCCAGGCACCAGTTGTGAGAGTGCTGGGAGGTGTGTTACATTCAACTGAAGATCACCTTACATACACTTATAATTAAATTTTCGTTTTGTTTATTGATATTCCTGCATTCTGATTAGCTGAAATGGTCACATGTTATTGCATTCATTTCCCGATGAATGTGAAAAAAATTATCCCCTCCTACATACCACATCTCCAATGTCTTATCCCCTTCTACATACCACATCTCCATTGTCTTATCCCCTTCTACATACCACATCTCCATTGTCTTATCCCCTTCTACATACTACATCTCCATTGTCTTATTGCCTTCTACATACCACATCTCTATTGTCTTATCCCCTTCTACATACTACATCTCTATTGTCTTATCCCCTTCTACATACTACATCTCTATTGTCTTATCCCCTCCTACATACCACATCTCAAATGTCTTATCCCCTCCTACATACCACATCTCCAATGTCTTATCCCCTTCTACATACCACATCTCCAATGTCTTATCCCCTTCTTCATACCACATCTCCATTACCTTAGCCCCTTCTACATACCACATCTCTATTGTCTTATCCCCTTCTACCTACCATATGTCCATTGTCTTATCCCCTCCTACATACCACATCTCCATTGTCTTATCCCCTTCTACATACCACATCTCCATTGTCTTATCCCCTCCTACATACCACATCTCCATTGTCTTATCCCCTCCTACATACCACATCTCCAATGTCTTATTGCCTTCTACATACCACATCTCCATTGTCTTATCCCCTCCTACATACCACATCTCCAATGTCTTATTGCCTTCTACATACCACATCTCCATTGTCTTATCCCCTTCTACATACCACATCTCCATTGTCTTATCCCCTTCTACATACCACATCTCCATTGTCTTATCCCCTTCTACATACCACATCTCCAATGTTTTATCCCCTTCTTCATACCACATCTCCATTACCTTAGCCCCTCCTACATACCACATCTCCAATGTCTTATTGCCTTCTACATACCACATCTCCATTGTCTTATCCCCTCCTACATACCACATCTCCAATGTCTTATTGCCTTCTACATACCACATCTCCATTGTCTTATCCCCTTCTACATACCACATCTCCATTGTCTTATCCCCTTCTACATACCACATCTCCATTGTTTTATCCCCTTCTTCATACCACATCTCCATTACCTTAGCCCCTTCTACATACCACATCTCTATTGTCTTATCCCCTTCTACCTACCATATGTCCATTGTCTTATCCCCTCCTACATACCACATCTCCATTGTCTTATCCCCTCCTACATACCACATCTCCAATGTCTTATTGCCTTCTACATACCACATCTCCATTGTCTTATCCCCTCCTACATACCACATCTCCATTGTCTTATTGCCTTCTACATACCACATCTCCATTGTCTTATCCCCTTCTACATACCACATCTCCATTGTCTTATCCCCTCCTACATACCACATCTCCATTGTCTTATCCCCTCCTTCATACCACATCTCCATTGTCTTATTGCCTTCTACATACCACATCTCTATTGTCTTATCCCCTTCTACATTCCAACATCTCCATTGTCTTATCCCCTCCAACATACCACATCTCCATTGTCTTATCCCCTCCTACATACCACATCTCCATTGTCTTATTGCCTTCTACATACCACATCTCTATTGTCTTATCCCCTCCTACATACCACATCTCCATTGTCTTATCCCCTCCTACATACCACATCTCCATTGTCTTATCCCCTTCTTCATACCACATCTCCATTACCTTATCCCCTTCTTCATAACACATCTCTATTGTCTTATCCCTTCTACATACCACATCTCCATTGTCTTATCCCCTCCTACATACCACATCTCCATTGTCTTATCCCCTCCTACATACCACATCTCCATTGTCTTATTGCCTTCTACATACCACATCTCTATTGTCTTATCCCCTCCTACATACCACATCTCCATTGTCTTATCCCCTCCTACATACCACATCTCCATTACCTTATCCCCTTCTTCATAACACATCTCCATTGTCTTATCCCCTCCTACATACCACATCTCCAATGTCTTATCCCCTTCTACATACCACATCTCCAATGTCTTATCCCCTTCTTCATACCACATCTCCATTACCTTATCCCCTTCTTCATACCACATCTCCATTGTCTTATCCCCTCCTACATACTACATCTCTATTGTCTTATCCCCTCCTACATACCACATCTCCAATGTCTTATCCCCTTCTACATACCACATCTCCATTGTCTTATCCCCTTCTACATACCACATCTCCATTGTCTTATCCCCTTCTACATACTACATCTCCATTGTCTTATTGCCTTCTACATACTACATCTCTATTGTCTTATCCCCTCCTACATACCACATCTCCATTGTCTTATCCCCTCCTACATACCACATCTCCATTGTCTTATCCCCTTCTTCATACCACATCTCCATTACCTTATCCCCTTCTTCATAACACATCTCTATTGTCTTATCCCCTCCTACATACCAAATCTCCATTGTCTTATCCCCTTCTTCATACCACATCTCCATTACCTTATCCCCTTCTTCATACCACATCTCCATTGTCTTATCCCCTCCTTCATACCACATCTCTATTGTCTTATCCCCTCCTACATACCACATCTCCAATGTCTTATCCCCTTCTACATACCACATCTCCATTGTCTTATCCCCTTCTACATACCACATCTCCATTGTCTTATCCCCTTCTACATACTACATCTCCATTGTCTTATCCCCTTCTACATACCACATCTCCATTGTCTTATTGCCTTCTACATACCACATCTCCATTGTCTTATCCCCTTCTACATACCACATCTCCATTGTCTTATTGCCTTCTACATACCACATCTCCATTGTCTTATCCCCTTCTACATACCACATCTTGATTGTCTTTTCCCCTTCTACCTACCGCATCTCCATTGTCTTATCCCCTTCTACATACCACATCTCCATTGTCTTATTGCCTTCTACATATCACATCTCCATTGTCTTATTGCCTTCTACATACCACATCTCCATTGTCTTATTGCCTTCTACATACCACATCTCCATTGTCTTATTGCCTTCTACATACCACATCTCCATTACCCTGATTTCAAATACCATTTATTCGGACACAGAGGATCTCCTCCCAGATCTTCACTACATCCCGTTCTGTCTCTCTGCTACATGCCCCTTGTTGCTACTACAGCTCCTGTTTCACCTGGAGAATGTGCGCTACTTCATGGACCTGGCTGGATGCAAGGAAGGGGTTGCCAGAGCTGGACACAAGATCATCCAGACATTAGTAAGAACAGTTATCAGTGTGTTCTGCTGTGTCCCAGCATGCAGGGCCACTTTGACTGTTGTACACTGTGGGGCTTATTCTCTACTGAATGTGTGCTGCGGATACTTAGTTTTTCTTTGTTTTGAGAGAGAAGAAATTAGGATTAATGTGGTGCGTGAAAATTACTTTGTGTCACCTTGAACATTGCCTGTTTGCCCCCATTATGGGGTTGGCATATGTCACTTTGTGTAAGGAAATTTAACAGGTAGTATTGTAACATTTTTACATGTTATATTCATTATTATAGGGTGAAGATACATTGTTGAAACAAAGTCATTGTGTAAGCTTTGTCAATTTGTCCTCCATGTCTATGCCAAACATATTTGAATTGCAATGCTGACACCATCTTGATATGAGTTTAATGGCATTTTAAGCTGCTGACCTCAAACCAGTGAGTTACAGTAACATGTTTTAACATATGGACATTGGCTGTACCCAGTTAAAACTAATTACACCAAGGACAGTGAGAGGAGACTGGTATACATCCTATGCTTGTATTGCAGGAGAAGCTGCAGGGTCAGTGTGAGGAGAACGTCAGGCAAGACCTTCTTTCTGAACACCGCTACTACCTAGCCTGTTGTCTGTGTGACAGGGGCGAATACAGGGAGGCAGAGACACTACACACACAGGTCATCCAGTACTGGAGGGGGTAAGTGGTTGGTGTGGAGGTGCTACCTGTAGCATGGTGTCTGTGTGACAGAGACACTACACACACAGGTCTTCCAGTACTGGAGGGAGTAAGTAGTTGGTGTGGAGGCGCTACCTGTAGCATGGTGTCTGTGTGACAGAGACACTACACACACAGGTCATCCAGTACTGGAGGGAGTAAGTAGTTGGTGTGGAGGTGCTACCTGTAGCATGGTGTCTGTGTGACAGAGACACTACACACACAGGTCATCCAGTACTGGAGGGAGTAAGTAGTTGGCGTGGAGGTGCTACCTGTAGCATGGTGTCTGTGTGACAGAGACACTACACACACAGGTCATCCAGTACTGGAGGGGGTAAGTGGTTGGTGTGGAGGTGCTACCTGAAGCATGGTGTCTGTGTGACAGAGACACTACACACACAGGTCATCCAGTACTGGAGGGGGTAAGTGGTTGGTGTGGAGGTGCTACCTGTAGCATGGTGTCTGTGTGACAGAGACACTACACACACAGGTCTTCCAGTACTGGAGGGGGTAAGTGGTTGGTGTGGAGGTGCTACCTGTAGCATGGTGTCTGTGTGACAGAGACACTACACACACAGGTCATCCAGTACTGGAGGGGGTAAGTGGTTGGTGTGGAGGTGCTACCTGTAGCATGGTGTCTGTGTGACAAAGACACTACACACACAGGTCATCCAGTACTAGAGGGAGTAAGTAGTTGGTGTGGAGGTGCTACCTGTAGCATGGTGTCTGTGTGACAGAGACACTACACACACAGGTCATCCAGTACTGGAGGGAGTAAGTAGTTGGTGTGGAGGCGCTACCTGTAGCATGGTGTCTGTGTGACAGAGACACTACACACACAGGTCATCCAGTACTGGAGGGGGTAAGTGGTTGGTGTGGAGGTGCTACCTGTAGCATGGTGTCTGTGTGACAAAGACACTACACACACAGGTCATCCAGTACTAGAGGGAGTAAGTAGTTGGTGTGGAGGTGCTACCTGTAGCATGGTGTCTGTGTGACAGAGACACTACACACACAGGTCATCCAGTACTGGAGGGAGTAAGTAGTTGGTGTGGAGGTGCTACCTGAAGCATGGTGTCTGTGTGACAGAGACGCTACACACACAGATCATCCAGTACTGGAGGGAGTAAGTAGTTGGTGTGGAGGTGCTACCTGTAGCATGGTGTCTGTGTGACAGAGACGCTACACACACAGGTCATCCAGTACTGGAGGGAGTAAGTAGTTGGTGTGGAGGTGCTACCTGTAGCATGGTGTCTGTGTGACAGAGACGCTACACACACAGGTCATCCAGTACTGGAGGGGGTAAGTAGTTGGTGTGGAGGTTCTACCTGTAGCATGGTGTCTGTGTGACAGAGACGCTACACACACAGGTCATCCAGTACTGGAGGGAGTAAGTAGTTGGTGTGGAGGTGCTACCTGTAGCATGGTGTCTGTGTGACAGAGACGCTACACACACAGGTCATCCAGTACTGGAGGGAGTAAGTAGTTGGTGTGGAGGTGCTACCTGTAGCATGGTGTCTGTGTGACAGAGACGCTACACACACAGGTCATCCAGTACTGGAGGGAGTAAGTAGTTGGTGTGGAGGTTCTACCTGTAGCATGGTGTCTGTGTGACAGAGACGCTACACACACAGATCATCCAGTACTGGAGGGAGTAAGTAGTTGGTGTGGAGGTTCTACCTGTAGCATGGTGTCTGTGTGACAGAGACGCTACACACACAGGTCATCCAGTACTGGAGGGAGTAAGACGACAGTGTGTGATGATAATATGCTGTGTTTTAGGTACTGTCTAACTTGAAAACCCTTTTCCAGCACAATAACCAGTGGAGTGGTGGACATCAAACAGGCTGAGACAAAACTAGCATGGGCTCTGAATGGACAAGGCTTGGTATACTTTCAGCAGCAGCAGTACACAGAGGTATAGAGCAGGCACCTTCACTTGACCTTATAAACAGGCCACCATGTGCCCTACTCTCTAGATCATGTGGAAATGATAGGCTACCATGTGCCCTACTCTCTAGATCATGTGGACATGATAGGCTACCATGTACCCTACTCTCCAGATCATGTGGACATGATAGGCTACCATATGCCCTACTCTCTAGATCATGTGGACATGATAGGCTACCATGTGCCCTACTCTCCAGATCATGTGGACATACACTCCTCTCTAGATCATGTGGACATACCCTCCTCTCTAGATCATGTAGATATGCCCTTCTCTCTAGATCATGTAGATATGCCCTTCTCTCTATTGCATGTAGATATGCCCTTCTCCCTATAGCATGTAGATATGCCCTTCTCTCTAGATCCATGGATATGTCCTTCTCTCTAGATCTTGTAGATATGCCCTTCTCTCTATAGCATGTAGATATGCCCTTCTCTCTATAGCATGTAGATATGCCCTTCTCTCTAGATCATGTGGATATGCCCTTCTCTCTAGATCATGTGGATATGCCCTTCTCTCTAGATCATGTAGATATGCCCTTCTCTCTATAGCATGTAGATATGCCCTTCTCTCTAGATCATGTTGATATGCCCTTCTCTCTAGATCATATAGATTTGCCCTTCTCTCTAGATCATGTGGATATGCCCTTCTCTCTAGATCATGTAGATATGCCCTTCTCTCTATAGCATGTAGATATGCCCTTCTCTCTAGATCATGTGGATATGCCCTTCTCTCTAGATCATGTAGATATGCCCTTCTCTCTATAGCATGTAGATATGCCCTTCTCTCTAGATCATGTAGATATGCCCTTCTCTCTAGATCATGTAGATATGCCCTTCTCTCTATAGCATGTAGATATGCCCTTTTCTCTAGATCATGTAGATATGCCCTTCTCTCTAGATCATGTAGATATGCCCTTCTCTCTATAGCATGTCGATATGCCCTTCTCTCTATATCATGTAGATATGCCCTTCTCTCTATAGCATGTAGATATGCCCTTCTCTCTAGATCATGTAGATATGCCATGTAGATGTGCCCTTCTCTCTAGATCATGTAGATATGCCCTTCTCTCTATAGCATGTAGATATGCCCTTCTCTCTAGATCATGTGGATATGCCCTTCTCTCTAGATCAGTGGATATGCCCTTCTCTCTAGATCATGTAGATATGCTCTTCTCTCTAGATCATGTAGATATGCCCTTCTCTCTATAGCATGTAGATATGCCCTTTTCTCTAGATCATGTACATATGCCCTTCTCTCTAGATCATGTAGATATGCCCTTCTCTCTATAGCATGTAGATATGCCCTTCTCTCTAGATCATGTGGATATGCCCTTCTCTCTAGATCAGTGGATATGCCCTTCTCTCTAGATCATGTAGATATGCCCTTCTCTCTAGATCATGTAGATATGCCCTTCTCTCTATAGCATGTAGATATGCCCTTTTCTCTAGATCATGTAGATATGCCCTTCTCTCTAGATCATGTAGATATGCCCTTCTCTCTATATCATGTAGATATGCCCTTCTCTCTATAGCATGTAGATATGCCCTTCTCTCTAGATCATGTAGATATGCCATGTAGATATGCCCTTCTCTCTAGATCATGTAGATATGCCCTTCTCTCTATAGCATGTAGATATGCCCTTCTCTCTAGATCATGTGGATATGCCCTTCTCTCTAGATCCATGGATATGCCCTTCTCTCTAGATCATGTAGATATGCTCTTCTCTCTAGATCATGTAGATATGCCCTTCTCTCTATAGCATGTAGATATGCCCTTTTCTCTAGATCATGTAGATATGCCCTTCTCTCTAGATCATGTAGATATGCCCTTCTCTCTATAGCATGTCGATATGCCCTTCTCTCTATATCATGTAGATATGCCCTTCTCTCTATAGCATGTAGATATGCCCTTCTCTCTACATCATGTAGATATGCCATGTAGATGTGCCCTTCTCTCTATAGCATGAAGATATGCCCTTCTCTCTATAGCATGTAGATATGCCCTTCTCTCTATAGCATGTAGATATGCCCTTCTCTCTATAGCATGTAGATATGCCCTTCTCTCTATAGCATGTAGACATTTAGAACTGGCAGGCTGCCATGTGCATTCCAGGCTGAGCCCCTACTGAGAGAGTCTGAATGCTACCACAAGAAACATGGCAACAAGAGGAATGAGGCTGACTGCCTGGTGAACCTGGGCCTAGTGCAGCTGAAAACAGACAACCCCCAGAAGGCTGCAGACAAGTTCCTTGCCGCTCTCAAGGTGAGCTCTCGGCCCAGCATCTCACTGGGTAGTAGTTATACCGAGTTCTCACTGGGTAGTGGTTATACCTGCATCTCACTGGGTAGTAGTTATACCTGCATCTCACTGGGTAGTAGTTATACCTGCATCTCACTGGGTAGTGGTTATACCTGCATCTCACTGGGTAGTGGTTGTACCAGCATCTCACTGGGTAGTGGTTATACCAGCATCTCACTGGGTAGTAGTTATACCAGCATCTCACTGGGTAGTGGTTATACCAGCATCTCACTGGGTAGTAGTTATACCAGCATCTCACTAGGTAGTGGTTCTACCAGCATCTCACTGGGTAGTAGTTATACCAGCATCTCACTAGGTAGTGGTTATATCAGCATCTCACTGGGTAGTGGTTACACCAGCATCTCACTGGGTAGGTGGTTATACCAGCCTCTCACTGGGTAGTGGTTATACCAGCATCTCACTGGGTAGTGGTTATACCAGCATCTCACTGGGTAGTGGTTATACCAGCATCTCACTGGGTAGTTGTTATACCAGCATCTCACTGGGTAGTGGTTATACCAGCATCTCACTGGGTAGTGGTTCTACCAGCATCTCACTGTGTAATGGTAATACCTGCATCTCAGTGGGTAGTAGTTACACCAGCATCTCACTGGGTAGTGGTTATACCAGCATCTCACTGGGTAGTGGTTCTACCAGCATCTCACTGTGTAATGGTAATACCTGCATCTCACTGGGTAGTAGTTACACCAGCATCTCACTGGGAAGTGGTTATACCTGCATCTCACTGGGTAGTGGTTATACCAGCATCTCACTGGGTAGTGGTTACACCAGCATCTCACTGGGTAGTGGTTATATCAGCATCTCACTGGGTAGTGGTTATACCTGCATCTCACTGGGTAGTGGTTATACCAGCCTCTCACTGGGTAGTGGTTATATCAGCATCTCACTGGGTAGTGGTTATACCTGCATCTCACTGGGTAGTGGTTATACCAGTATCTCACTGGGAAGTGGTTATACCTGCATCTCACTGGGTAGTGGTTATACCAGCATCTCACTGGGTAGTGGTTATACCAGCATCTCACTGGGTAGTGGTTATATCAGCATCTCACTGGGTAGTAGTTACACCAGCATCTCACTGGGTAGTGGTTATATCAGCATCTCACTGGGTAGTGGTTATATCAGCATCTCACTGGGTAGTGGTTACACCAGCATCTCACTGGGTAGTGGTTATACCTGCATCTCACCGGGTAGTGGTTATATTAGCATCTCACTGGGTAGTGGTTATACCTGCATCTCACTGGGTAGTGGTTATATCAGCATCTCACTGGGTAGTGGTTATACCAGCATCTCACTGGGTAGTGGTTATACCAGCATCTCACTGGGTAGTGGTTATACCAGCATCTCACTGTGTAATGGTAATACCAGCATCTCACTGGGTAGTAGTTCTACCAGCATCTCACCGGGTAGTGGTTATACCAGCATCTCACTGGGTAGTGGTTATACCAGCATCTCACTAGGTAGTGGTTATACCAGCATCTCACTGGGTAGTGGTAATACCAGCATCTCACTGGGTAGTGGTTATACCAGCATCTCACTGGGTAGTGGTTATACCAGTATCTCACTGGGTAGTGGTTACACCAGCATCTCATGGGTTGTGGTTATACCAGCATCTCACTAGGTAGTGGTTCTACCAGCATCTATCTGGGTAGTGGTTATACCAGCATCTCACTGGGTAGTAGTTCTACCAGCATCTCACTGGGTAGTGGTTATACCAGCATCTCACTGGGTAGTGGTTATACCAGCATCTCACTGGGTAGTGGTTATACCAGCATCTCACTGGGTAGTAGTTATATCTGCATCTCACTGGGTAGTGGTTACACCAGCATCTCACTGGGTAGTAGTTATACCTGCATCTCACTGGGTAGTGGTTATACCAGCATCTCACTGGGTAGTAGTTATACCAGCATCTCACTGGGTAGTGGTTATATCAGCATCTCACTGGGTAGTGGTTACACCAGCATCTCACTGGGTAGTAGTTATACCAGCATCTCACTGGGTAGTGGTTATACCAGCATCACACTAGGTAGTGGTTATACCAGCATCTCACTGGGTAGTGGTGATACCAGCATCTCACTGGGTAGTGGTCATACCAGCATCTCACTGGGTAGTGGTTATATCAGCATCTCACTGGGTAGTGGTTATACCAGCATCTCACTGGGTAGTGGTTATACCAGCATCTCACTGGGTAGTGGTTATACCAGCATCTCACTGGGTAGTGGTTGTACCAGCATCTCACTGGGTAGTGGTTATACCAGCATCTCACTAGGTAGTGGTTCTACCAGCATCTCACTGGGTAGTAGTTATACCAGCATCTCACTAGGTAGTGGTTATATCAGCATCTCACTGGGTAGTGGTTACACCAGCATCTCACTGGGTAGGTGGTTATACCAGCCTCTCACTGGGTAGTGGTTATACCAGCATCTCACTGGGTAGTGGTTATACCAGCATCTCACTGGGTAGTGGTTATACCAGCATCTCACTGGGTAGTTGTTATACCAGCATCTCACTGGGTAGTGGTTATACCAGCATCTCACTGGGTAGTGGTTCTACCAGCATCTCACTGTGTAATGGTAATACCAGCATCTCAGTGGGTAGTAGTTACACCAGCATCTCACTGGGTAGTGGTTATACCAGCATCTCACTGGGTAGTGGTTCTACCAGCATCTCACTGTGTAATGGTAATACCTGCATCTCACTGGGTAGTAGTTACACCAGCATCTCACTGGGAAGTGGTTATACCTGCATCTCACTGGGTAGTGGTTATACCAGCATCTCACTGGGTAGTGGTTACACCAGCATCTCACTGGGTAGTGGTTATATCAGCATCTCACTGGGTAGTGGTTATACCTGCATCTCACTGGGTAGTGGTTATACCAGCCTCTCACTGGGTAGTGGTTATATCAGCATCTCACTGGGTAGTGGTTATACCAGCATCTCACTGGGTAGTGGTTATACCAGCCTCTCACTGGGTAGTGGTTATACCAGCATCTCACTTGGTAGTGGTTATACCAGCATCTCACTGGGTAGTAGTTATACCAGCATCTCACTGGGTAGTGGTTATATCAGCATCTCACTGGGTAGTGGTTATGCCAGCATCTCACTGGGTAGTGGTTATACCTGCATCTCACTGGGTAGTGGTTCTACCAGCATCTCACTGGGTAGTGGTTATACCAGCATCTCACTGGGTAGTGGTTCTACCAGCATCTCACTGGGTAGTGGTTATACCAGCATCTCACTGGGTAGTGGTTATACCTGCATCTCACTGGGTAGTGGTTATACCAGCATCTCACTGGGAAGTGGTTATACCTGCATCTCACTGGGTAGTGGTTATACCAGCATCTCACTGGGTAGTAGTTATACCAGCATCTCACTGGGTAGTGGTTATATCAGCATCTCACTGGGTAGTAGTTACACCAGCATCTCACTGGGTAGTGGTTATATCAGCATCTCACTGGGTAGTGGTTATATCAGCATCTCACTGGGTAGTGGTTACACCAGCATCTCACTGGGTAGTGGTTATACCTGCATCTCACCGGGTAGTGGTTATATTAGCATCTCACTGGGTAGTGGTTATACCTGCATCTCACTGGGTAGTGGTTATATCAGCATCTCACTGGGTAGTGGTTATACCAGCATCTCACTGGGTAGTGGTTATACCAGCATCTCACTGGGTAGTGGTTATACCAGCATCTCACTGTGTAATGGTAATACCTGCATCTCACTGGGTAGTAGTTCTACCAGCATCTCACCGGGTAGTGGTTATACCAGCATCTCACTGGGTAGTGGTTATACCAGCATCTCACTAGGTAGTGGTTATACCAGCATCTCACTGGGTAGTGGTAATACCAGCATCTCACTGGGTAGTGGTTATACCAGCATCTCACTGGGTAGTGGTTATACCAGTATCTCACTGGGTAGTGGTTATACCAGCATCTCACTGGGTAGTAGTTATACCAGCATCTCACTGGGCAGTGGTGATACCAGCATTGATCCTGCTGTAACATATATTTTAGAAAAAAACATTAAATATGAGATTTAAACAAAAATTATTTAGACAATTAAACTTGTTCACCAGAGACATCTGTTACAAAAAAAATAAGATAACAATCAAGTTAAACTGTATATTAATTAATGCTTGTTTTTATATCAAATTGACCTTTATTAGATAATCAAACAGTTGATATTTACCAAAGGGTTTGTTTTGAAAAGAAATTGAGACAACTGAATTGCAAGTTTTCAACTGACAGATTAGTAATCCACTCAACCGTGACCTATGTGATTACAAGCTGTCTGACAATAGTGGGGAGACACTGTTGTCAGAGAGGGGGGCATGTTAAGACTGTGAGGCAGGAATCAACTGAGTTGCAATTAACCCTTAACTCTTTCAGTTGTACGAAGCTGTCCACTATGACTCTGTCCCGCACACCATTGGAAACCTGTACACCAACCTGGGCCTGGCCTACAAACACATGAACAAACTTGACTTGGCAGAGAAGTACTACTTCAAGTAAGTTACCCAGTGTGTAGCATGGATAGCTTGGTGTGAAGAACTACTTCAAGTACAAATAGCACCAGTAGCTTGCACTGAAGAACGACTTCAAGTAGATAGCACCAGTAGCTTGCAGTGAAGAACTACTTCAAGTACAAATAGCACCAGTAGCTTACACTGAAGAACGACTTCAAGTAGATAGCACCAGTAGCTTGCAGTGAAGAACTACTTGAAGTAGATAGCACCAGTAGCTTGCAGTGAAGAACTACTTGAAGTAGATAGCACCAGTAGCTTACAGTAAAAAAACTACTTCAAGTAGATAGCACCAGTAGCTTAAAGTTAAGAACTACTTCAATTAGATAGCACCAGTAGCTTACAGTGAAGAACTACTTGAAGTAGATAGCACCAGTAGCTTACAGTGAAGAACTACTTGAAGTAGATAGCACCAGTAGCTTACAGTGAAGAGCAACTTGAAGTAGATAGCACCAGTAGCTTGCAGTGAAGAGCAACTTCAAGTAGATAGCACTAGTAGCTTGCAGTGAAGAACTACTTGAAGTAGATAGCACCAGTAGCTTACAGTGAAGAACTACTTGAAGTAGATAGCACCAGTAGCTTGCAGTGAAGAACTACTTCAAGTAGATAGCACCAGTAGCTTGCAGTGAAGAACTACTTCAAGTAGATAGCACCAGTAGCTTACAGTGAAGAACGTCCTCAATTAGATAGCACCAGTAGCTTACAGTGAAGAACTACTTGAAGTAGATAGCACCAGTAGCTTACAGTGAAGAACTAATTCAAGTAGATAGCACCAGTAGCTTGCAGTGAAGAACTACTTCAAGTAGATAGCACCAGTAGCTTACAGTGAAGAACTTCTTCAAGTAGATAGCACCAGTAGCTTACAGTGAAGAACTTCTTCAAGTAGATAGCACCAGTAGCTTGCAGTGAAGAACTACTTCAAGTAGATAGCATCAGTAGCTTACAGTGAAGAACGTCCTCAATTAGATAGCACCAGTAGCTTACAGTGAAGAACTACTTCAAGTAGATAGCACCAGTAGCTTACAGTGAAGAACTACTTCAAGTAGATAGCACCAGTAGCTTACAGTGAAGAACGTCCTCAATTAGATAGCACCAGTAGCTTACAGTGAAGAACTACTTCAAGTATATAGCACCAGTAGCTTGCAGTGAAGAACTACTTCAAGTAGATAGCACCAGTAGCTTGCAGTGAAGAACTACTTCAATTAGATAGCACCAGTAGCTTACAGTGAAGAACTACTTCAAGTAGATAGCACCAGTAGCTTGCAGTGAAGAACTACTTCAAGTATATCGCAACAGTAGCTTATAGTGAAGAACTACTTCAAGTATATAGCACCAGTAGCTTGCAGTGAAGAACTACTTCAAGTATATAGCAACAGTAGCTTACAGTGAAGAACTACTTGAAGTATATAGCACCAGTAGCTTACAATGAAGAACTACTTCAAGTATATAGCACCAGTAGCTTACAGTGAGAAAGCAGTCTAATACAACATGTATGTGATAACACACAGTCTGAAGAAATCACACACATCACTGCCCGCTTGAGCAGAAATGACACGTCAACATAAGGCAATATTGCTTTAATTGTAGCAAAAGGTGGAATAAAGGTGATAAACAACAGGTAGTGGACAGAGTATATGTGAAGAGGTGTTGGGTGCAGGTGTTGTTAGAAGTGATTAAGAAGTTATTCCCTGTAGGACTACCTATTCTGACTTGTTTGCCTTTGACCATCATCATACATCTCATGACAAGACATTACGGCAGCAAGGAGAAAATTCGTAGATGACTCAGAAAAAGACAAGGCTTTCAAGCAAATTGCATCTGATATTCCACAACCATACTTTTCATTAGGAGTAGATATACTTGTTATACCTCCGGCTGGGGTTCCACCCTCCAATGAGTCAGAAACCACCGGCCTGTATGTTCTTGTTCCCAGCGCACACAGTTGTCAGCCAGAAGGTGTTCATCTGGGGTGGTGAACACAACATGGCAATTTTTTAATTTGTATCTTTAGATAATTAACTGGATACACAGTTTTTTCCTCAAATTACTCTACTGAACGTCAATGATATTGAGGACAAGTTGCCTGGTATAAGTGCTGTTGCTGTCCCCAGGTCCGTAGAGGTGAAGGCCAAGTCAGTTGGGGAGGAGCACCCTGCCCTGGCTGCAGCCTACTTGAACCTGGGAACCCTGGAGGGGGCTCGCAAACACTGGGCGCGGGTGGAGGAGTACACACTGAAAGCACATGTCATCTACAAGGTACTCGAAACTGCATCACCATATTCCACTGCAGATGTCCAATAAGGCCAAACATAAATCATGCATGTGTGATGTAGGTGATGTGTGTATCCATGTAGGTGATGTGTGTATGCATGTAGGTGATGTGTGTATCCATGTAGGAGATGTGTGTATCCATGTAGGTGATGTATGTATCCATGTAGGTGATGTGTGTATGCATGTAGGTGATGTGTGTATCCATGTAGGAGATGTGTGTATCCATGTAGGAGATGTGTGTATCCATGTAGGTGATGTGTGTATCCATGTAGGTGATGTGTGTATCCATGTAGGTGATGAGTGTATCCATGTAGGTGATGTGTGTATCCATGTAGGTGATGTGTGTATCCATGTAGGTGATGGACTGATGTGTGTATCCATGTAGGAGATGTGTTAAGCCATGTAGGTGATGTGTTTAGCCATGTAGGTGATGTGTGTATCCAAGTAGGTGATGTGTATATCCATGTAGGCGATGGACTGATGTGTGTATCCATGTAGGAGATGTGTTAAGTTATGTAGGTGATGTGTTTAGCCATGTAGATGATGTGTGTATCCAAGTAGGTGATGTGTGTATCCATGTAGGTGATGTGTGTATCCAAGTAGGTGATGTGGGTATCCATGTAGGTGATGTGTGTATCCATGTAGGTGATGTGTGTATCCATATAGGTGATGTGTGTATCCAAGTAGGTGATGTGGGTATCCATGTAGGTGATGTGTGTATCCATGTAGGTGATGTGTGTATCCATGTAGGTGATGTGTGTATCCATGTAGGAGATGTGTGTATCCATGTAGGTGATGTGTGTATCCATGTAGGTGATGGAATGATGTGTGTATCCATGTAGGTGATGGAATGATGTGTGTATCCATGTAGGTGATGTGTGTATCCATGTAGGTGATGTGTGTATCCATGTAGGTGATGTGTGTATCCAAGTAGGTGATGTGTGTATCCATGTAGGTGATGTGTGTATCCATGTAGGTGATGTGTTTAGCCATGTAGGTGATGTGTTTAGCCATGTAGGTGATGTGTGTAGCCGTGTAAGTGATGGGCTCATGTGTGTATCCATGTAGGTGATGTGTGTATCCATGTAGGTGATGTGTGTATCCATATAGGTGATGTGTGTATCCATGTAGGTGATGTGTGTATCCATGTAGGTGATGTGTGTATCCATGTAGGTGATGTGTGTATCCATATAGGTGATGTGTTTAGCCATGTAGGTGATGTGTGTATCCATATAGGTGATGTGTTTAGCCATGTAGGTGATGTGTGTATCCATGTAGGTGATGTGTATAGCCATGTAGGTGATGTGTATAGCCATGTAGGTGATGTGTGTATCCATGTAGGTGATGTGTATAGCCATGTAGGTGATGGACTGATGTGTGTATCCAAGTAGGTAATGTGTGTATCGATGTAGGTGATGTGTGTATGCATGTAGGTGATCTGTGTAGCCATGTAGGTGATGGAATGATGTGTGTCTCCAAGTAGGTAATGTGTGTATCGATGTAGTTGATGTGTGTAGCCATGTAGGTAATGGACTGATGTGTGTATCCATGTAGGTGGTGTGTGTATCCATGTAGGTGATGTGTGTATGCATGTAGGTGATGTGTGTAGCCATGTAGGTGATGTGTGTATCCATGTAGGTGATGTGTGTATCCATGTAGGTGATGTGTGTATGCATGTAGGTGATGTGTGTATGCATGTAGGTGATGTGTGTATCCATGTAGAAGATGTGTGTATGCATGTAGGTGATGTGTGTACGCATATAGGTGATGTGTGTATTCATATGTGTGATATGTGTATCCATGTAGGTGAATGACTATGGCGCTAGCAGCAAGGAGTTCCGCAACTGCCTGGAGAACCTAGTCAACTGTTACTTACACCAGGGGAAGTATGAAGTAGCCACACCCTTCTACTGGACTGTATGTAAGTAAACACATATATATAACATGGTAGCAAAAGTGCCTTTACCATTAGGTTTCATTCTTGCAATATCCTTCACCAAGACTTCTCCAAGCCTTAGAGGTTGATGTAGCAAGTGATAATTGAGCATCCTGCATTGATGTTACAGTCAATGCCCTTACCTCCCAAGGGCGGATGTGTGAGTGCCTGGCATGGGTACACAACTCTATGGCCAAACACTACCTGGACATTAAGCAGTATGATCAAGCAGACCGTATTCTGAAAGCACTGGTCCATAGTCCGAAGAAGACAGCCGCTACATTTGTCTACATTGACCAGCTTGACCAGGCCAGACCAGCCAACACCAGACCTAAGCGCCTCAAAGAAGAAACACTTGACCATGGCCTGACTGTGTAAGTACTTTAGCACTGTGACTGAGTTGTCTACATTCAGTAGTGTAGCACTGGGAGTGAGTTGTTTACATTCAGCAGTGTAGCACTGGGAGTGAGTTGTCTACATTCAGTAGTGTAGCACTGGGAGTGAGTTGTCTACATTCAGTAGTGTAGCACTGGGAGTGAGTTGTCTACATTCAGCAGTGTAGCACTGGGAGTGAGTTGTCTACATTCAGTAGTGTAGCACTGGGAGTGAGTTGTCTACATTCAGTAGTGTAGCACTGGGAGTGAGTTGTCTACATTCAGTAGTATAGCACTGGGAGTGAGTTGTCTACATTCAGTAGTATAGCACTGGGAATGAGTTGTCTACATTCAGTAGTATAGCACTGGGAGTGAGTTGTTTACATTCAGTAGTGTAGCACTGGGAGTGAGTTGTTTACATTCAGTAGTATAGCACTGGGAGTGTGTTGTCTACATTCAGTAGTGTAGCACTGGGAGTGAGTTGTCTACATTCAGTAGTATAGCACTGGGAGTGAGTTGTTTACATTCAGTAGTGTAGCATTGGGAGTGAGTTGTTTACATTCAGTAGTGTAGCATTGGGAGTGAGTTGTTTACATTCAGTAGTATAGCACTGGGAGTGAGTTGTCTACATTCAGTAGTGTAGCACTGGGAGTGAGTTGTTTACATTCAGTAGTATAGCACTGGGAGTGAGTTGTTTACATTCATTAGTATAGCACTGGGAGTGAGTTATCTACATTCAGTAGTGTAGCACTGGGAGTGAGTTGTCTACATTCAGTAGTATAGCACTGGGAGTGAGTTGTCTACATTCAGTAGTATAGCACTGGGAGTGAGTTGTCTACATTCAGTAGTATAGCACTGGGAGTGAGTTGTCTACATTCAGTAGTATAGCACTGGGAGTGAGTTATCTACATTCAGTAGTATAGCACTGGGAGTGAGTTGTCTACATTCAGTAGAATAGCACTGGGAATGAGTTGTCTACATTCAGTAGTATAGCACTGGGAGTGAGTTGTCTACATTCAGTAGTATAGCACTGGGAGTGAGTTGTCTACATTCAGGAGTATAGCACTGGGAGTGAGTTTGTCTACATTCAGTAGTATAGCACTGGGAGTGAGTTGTCTACATTCAGTAGTATAGCACTGGGAGTGAGTTGTCTACATTCAGTAGTATAGCACTGGGAGTGAGTATAGCACTGACAGAGTTGTCTACATCTAGTACATAGCATCTGGTAGAAGTTTACAAAACTGTTCAATCGAAAATTGGTGTTGCAGAACAAATTTTAGCCATTTTGTCATCCACTCATTCAGAACTTGATTTCACTCCTTGGATCTTTCATTTTGTGTGTTATTTTATGTTGGAAAATTTAATAATATTTGTGTTCTGTCCTTGCCATATATTAAATAATTTGTTAACCAATCAACATTCATAAATGCATAAAAGTCATTGCCTCAAAGTCTTTTTCCGGCTAGTAGACAGATGCAGCTGATGAGCACCTGCGGGCAGAGTCAGACAGCAGGGTTACTGAGAAGCCGGAGCACAGTGCTCCTTAAACAAATAGTCTTTTTACCAGCAGCTGTGTTGAAGAAGTCCTATTTGTAGTTTGGACAGGCAGTTACTTTCTTGGGTTGTGGATTAAATGAGCTGTTTGAAGGAGGGAAAATATGATCAGCACATCAATATTGGTGTGGATGGAGGAGGAAATACAAAAACTGACAGGATCACATTTCCCTCAGAGTGACATACAATAGATTAAAGTCCTGTATGTAGACAGATTGAAGTCCTGTATGTAGATAGATTAAAGTCCTGTATGTAGATAGATTAAAGTCCTGTATGTAGACAGATTGAAGTCCTGTATGTAGATAGATTAAAGTCCTGTATGTAGACAGATTGAAGTCCTGTATGTAGATAGATTAAAGTCCTGTATGTAGATAGATTAAAGTCCGGTATGTAGACAGATTGAAGTCCTGTATGTAGATAGATTAAAGTCCTGTATGTAGATAGATTGAAGTCCTGTATGTAGATAGATTAAAGTCCTGTATGTAGACAGATTGAAGTCCTGTATGTAGATGGATTGAAGTCCTGTATGTAGATAGATTAAAGTCCTGTATGTAGATAGATTAAAGTCCTGTATGTAGATAGATTAAAGTCCTGTATGTAGACAGATTGAAGTCCTGTATGTAGATAGATTAAAGTCCTGTATGTAGACAGATTGAAGTCCTGTATGTAGACAGATTGAAGTCCTGTATGTAGATAGATTAAAGTCCTGTATGTAGATAGATTAAAGTCCTGTATGTAGACAGATTGAAGTCCTGTATGTAGATAGATTAAAGTCCTGTATGTAGACAGATTGAAGTCCTGTATGTAGATAGATTAAAGTCCTGTATGTAGATAGATTAAAGTCCTGTATGTAGATAGATTAAAGTCCTGTATGTAGATAGATTGAAGCCCTGTATGTAGATAGATTAAAGTCCTGTATGTAGACAGATTGAAGTCCTGTATGTAGATAGATTAAAGTCCTGTATGTAGAGAGTGTAAAGTCCTGTATGTAGACAGATTGAAGTCCTGTATGTAGATAGATTAAAGTCCTGTATGTAGATAGAATAAAGTCCTGTATGTAGATAGATTAAAGTCCTGTATGTAGAGAGTGTAAAGTCCTGTATGTAGATAGATTGAAGTCCTGTATGTAGATAGATTAAAGTCCTGTATGTAGATAGAATAAAGTCCTGTATGTAGATAGATTAAAGTCCTGTATGTAGAGAGTGTAAAGTCCTGTATGTAGACAGATTGAAGTCCTGTATGTAGATAGATTAAAGTCCTGTATGTAGAGAGTGTAAAGTCCTGTATGTAGAGAGTGTAAAGTCCTGTATGTAGAGCGTGTAAAGTCCTGTATGTAGACAGATTGAAGTCCTGTATGTAGAGAGTGTAAAGTCCTGTATGTAGAGAGTGTAAAGTCCTGTATGTAGAGAGTGTAAAGTCCTGTATGTAGAGCGTGTAAAGTCCTGTATGTAGACAGATTGAAGTCCTGTATGTAGAGAGTGTAAAGTCCTGTATGTAGAGAGTGTAAAGTCCTGTATGTAGAGAGTGTAAAGTCCTGTATGTAGAGAGTGTAAAGTCCTGTATGTAGAGAGTGTAAAGTCCTGTATGTAGATAGATTAAAGTCCTGTATGTAGAGAGTGTAAAGTCCTGTATGTAGAGAGTGTAAAGTCCTGTATGTAGAGAGTGTAAAGTCCTGTATGTAGAGAGTGTAAAGTCCTGTATGTAGAGAGTGTAAAGTCCTGTATGTAGATAGATTAAAGTCCTGTATGTAGAGAGTGTAAAGTCCTGTATGTAGAGAGTGTAAAGTCCTGTATGTAGAGAGTGTAAAGTCCTGTATGTAGAGAGTGTAAAGTCCTGTATGTAGAGAGTGTAAAGTCCTGTATGTAGATAGATTAAAGTCCTGTATGTAGAGAGTGTAAAGTCCTGTATGTAGAGAGTGTAAAGTCCTGTATGTAGAGAGTGTAAAGTCCTGTATGTAGAGAGTGTAAAGTCCTGTATGTAGAGAGTGTAAAGTCCTGTATGTAGAGAGTGTAAAGTCCTGTATGTAGGGATGTAATGTTACACTTCAGACATTTCCAACATGTTTTGTAGCAAAAACTTCTTGAAACGATAATTCAAACCTGGCAGGGCATGTGGCTATGACATCTGATGACAAATCCACAAGTGTGTCAGCTTGTTTTTACCTTTTTTCTGAAGTTGGCATCTATTTTTGACTATTACAATTAAATACTATGTTGACTTTGTGCAGAACTATAAGATGCGCCAACAGTAACAAATTCACAAAACATAACCAGCCTCCAAGAGGCTCTAAATGTGCATACAATTGTTACCAGCAAAAAGTGCTTTCATTGGCGGAGACACACCAGTCAGCCAATGACATTTATTTGCACTTCTTCTGATGGAATTTAAGTGACAATCACAGAAGAGTTGCTTCCCTTCCATTGAGGCATTGGTCAATATTATAGTGTTGTCAGTATAGTATTATTATTTCTAAATCATCATTTTTCATTAATTTTCTGTCAACATCTGGGAAAAGGCAGTTCAGCGGGTCCCTAATACAAAACAAAGCGGCTTCAACTAAAGATGCAAGTTTACTTGTATTTGTGTAAGGGCTGTGTCCCCTTTCAGAACACCACACAAACGCAAGAGCAATAATCCAAAGTGTAGATGTTGTATAGGGACATCAGTGTCCTGCCTACATATTTACATGGCCACCCTGTATATACGTACAATCACACTTTGAGGATTCTAAGGAGAACAAGAAAGCTGACAGTGCTCCTTTACATACAGTTACCCAAACAACCTACACCTGTTGAAGCAAAAAGCTACAACAGTGTTCATCTCTAGTGGGGATGTGGACGGAGCCATGAAGTACTGGAGCTCTGTGGGAGCCAGGGCGGAGCACTATGCTTCCCTTGTGGAGTGGTGTCAAGAAGCGGGCCAGTCACACATGGCAGCAGATATACTTCAGCAGGCCCTCCAACTCTTCCCTGACTTAGGTGAGCTTTCTTGTACAAGGAGGTAATTGTAACCATTCACAGGAAAGGCAATAAAAGTCATCAGGCGAAAGCTCTTGCGTTGTTCAGGTTGATGTGTGATGACCTCTCTTGTGTTGTTCAGGTTGATGTGTGATGACCTCTTGTGTTGTTCAGGTTGATGTGTGAGACCCAGTGAGATGACCTCTCTTGTGTTGTTCAGGTTGATGTGTGATGACCTCTCTTGTGTTGTTCAGGTTGATGTGTGAGACCCAGTGTGGATACCTCTCTTGTGTTGTTCAGGTGAATGTGTGAGACCCAGGGAGGTGACCTCTCTTGTGTTGTTCAGGATGATGTGTGATGACCTCTCTTGTGTTGTTCAGGTTGATGTGTGAGACCTCTCTTGTGTTGTTAAGGTTGATGTGTGATAACCTCTCTTGTGTTGTTCAGGTTGATGTGTGATGACCTCTCTTGTGTTTTTCAGGTTGATATGTGATGACCTCTCTTGTGTTGTTCAGGTTGATGTGTGATGACCTCTCTTGTGTTGTTCAGATTGATGTGTGATGACCTCTCTTGTGTTGTTCAGATTGATGTGTGATGACCTCTCTTGTGTTGTTCAGGTTGATGACCTCTCTTGTGTTGTTCAGGTTGATGTGTGATGACCTCTATAGGATTGTTCAGGTTGATGTGTGATGACCTCTCTTGTGTTGTTCAGGATGATGTGTGATGACCTCTCTTGTGTTGTTCAGGTTGATATGTGATGACCTCTCTTGTGTTGTTCAGGTTGATGTGTGATAACCTCTCTTGTGTTGTTCAGGTTGATGTGTGATGACCTCTCTTGTGTTTTTCAGGTTGATATGTGATGACCTCTCTTGTGTTGTTCAGGTTGATGTGTGATGACCTCTCTTGTGTTGTTCAGATTGATGTGTGATGACCTCTCTTGTGTTGTTCAGGTTGATGACCTCTCTTGTGTTGTTCAGGTTGATGTGTGATGACCTCTATAGGATTGTTCAGGTTGATGTGTGATGACCTCTCTTGTGTTGTTCAGGATGATGTGTGATGACCTCTCTTGTGTTGTTCAGGTTGATGTGTGATCACCTCTCTTGTGTTGTTCAGGTTGATGTGTGATCACCTCTCTTGTGTTGTTCAGGTTGATGTGAGATGACCTCTCTTGTGTTGTTCAGGTTGATGTGTGAGACCCAGTGAGATGACCTCTCTTGTGTTGTTCAGGTTGATGTGTGATGACCTCTCTTGTGTTGTTCAGGTTGATGTGTGAGACCTCTCTTGTGTTGTTAAGGTTGATGTGTGATAACCTCTCTTGTGTTGTTCAGGTTGATGTGTGATGACCTCTCTTGTGTTTTTCAGGTTGATATGTGATGACCTCTCTTGTGTTGTTCAGGTTGATGTGTGATGACCTCTCTTGTGTTGTTCAGGTTGATGTGTGAGACCCAGTGAGATGACCTCTCTTGTGTTGTTCAGGTTGATGTGTGATGACCTCTCTTGTGTTGTTCAGGTTGATGTGTGATGACCTCTCTTGTGTTGTTCAGGTTGATGTGAGATGACCTCTCTTGTGTTGTTCAGGTTGATGTGTGAGACCCAGTGAGATGACCTCTCTTGTGTTGTTCAGGTTGATGTGTGATGACCTCTCTTGTGTTGTTCAGGTTGATGTGTGAGACCTCTCTTGTGTTGTTAAGGTTGATGTGTGATAACCTCTCTTGTGTTGTTCAGATTGATGTGTGATGACCTCTCTTGTGTTGTTCAGGTTGATGACCTCTCTTGTGTTTTTCAGGTTGATATGTGATGACCTCTCTTGTGTTGTTCAGGTTGATGTGTGATGACCTCTCTTGTGTTGTTCAGATTGATGTGTGATGACCTCTCTTGTGTTGTTCAGATTGATGTGTGATGACCTCTCTTGTGTTGTTCAGGTTGATGACCTCTCTTGTGTTGTTCAGGTTGATGTGTGATGACCTCTATAGGATTGTTCAGGTTGATGTGTGATGACCTCTCTTGTGTTGTTCAGGTTGATGTGTGATGACCTCTCTTGTGTTGTTCAGGTTGATGTGTGAGACCCAGTGAGATGACCTCTCTTGTGTTGTTCAGGTTGATGTGTGAGACCCAGTGAGATGACCTCTCTTGTGTTGTTCAGGTTGATGTGTGATGACCTCTCTTGTGTTGTTCAGGTTGATGTGTGATCACCTCTCTTGTGTTGTTCAGGTTGATGTGAGATGACCTCTCTTGTGTTGTTCAGGTTGATGTGTGATGACCTCTCTTGTGTTGTTCAGGTTGATGTGTGAGACCCAGTGTGGATACCTCTCTTGTGTTGTTCAGGTTGATGTGTGAGACCAAGGGAGGTGACCTCTCTTGTGTTGTTCAGGTTGATGTGTGATGACCTCTCTTCTGTTGTTCAGGTTGATGTGTGAGACCAAGTGTGGATACCTCTCTTGTGTTGTTCAGGTTGATGTGTGATGACCTCTCTTGTGTTTTTCAGGTTGATGTGTGATGACCTCTCTTGTGTTGTTCAGGTTGATGTGTGATGACCTCTCTTGTGTTGTTCAGGTTGATGTGTGAGACCAAGTGTAGATACCTCTCTTGTGTTGTTCAGGTTGATGTGTGAGACCCAGTGAGGTGACCTCTCTTGTGTTGTTCAGGTTGATGTGTGAGACCCAGTGAGATAACCTCTCTTGTGTTGTTCAGGTTGATGTGTGAGACCCAGTGAGGTGACCTCTCTTGTGTTGTTCAGGTTGATGTGTGAGACCCAGTGAGATGACCTCTCTTGTGTTGTTCAGGTTGATGTGTGATGACCTCTCTTGTGTTGTTCAGGTGAATGTGTGAGACCCAGGGAGGTGACCTCTCTTGTGTTGTTCAGGTTGATGTGTGAGACCCAGTGAGATAACCTCTCTTGTGTTGTTCAGGTTGATGTGTGAGACCCAGTGAGGTGACCTCTCTTGTGTTGTTCAGGTTGATGTGTGAGACCCAGTGAGATAACCTCTCTTGTGTTGTTCAGGTTGATGTGTGATGACCTCTCTTGTGTTGTTCAGGTTGATGTGTGATGACCTCTCTTGTGTTGTTCAGGTTGATGTGTGATGACCTCTCTTGTGTTGTTCAGGTTGATGTGTGAGACCCAGTGAGATGACCTCTCTTGTGTTGTTCAGGTTGATGTGTGAGACCCAGTGAGGTGACCTCTCTTGTGTTGTTCAGGTTGATGTGTGATAACCTCTCTTGTGTTGTTCAGGTTGATGTGTGATGACCTCTCTTGTGTTGTTCGGGTTGATGTGCCAGACCAAGTGAGGTGACCTCTCTTTTCCTGATCTGCCCTCAAGCTGTCAGGTCCAAGCTCCGGAGTGACAACTCACTTCCAACAAACATCCAAAGAAGGAGATAAGAGATGGGACCTGGTTTTGCCTGCTGAAAATGATAACGAAACATTTACATAAAAAATTTATGTTTGAAGGAACTAGAATTTTTTTCTTTTATATATACATGTAAAGGAGCAAGTTTGGGAGATAACCTCACAAAATCTCTGACCAAATGTCACAAATGTAATTTCAGTACAATTAATCCTCACTTAACTGTATATGTCCTGATTAACGTGTTTTTGCATATCTTTTGTTGATTGACCAAGGTGACTTTGGTACAATGTGCTGTGCAGACTGACCATGGTGACTGTGGTACAATGTGCTGTGTAGACTGACCATGGTGACTGTGGTACAATGTGCTGTGCAGACTGACAAAGGTGACTGTGGTACAATGTGCTGTGCAGACTGACCAAGGTGACTGTGGTACAATGTGCTGTGCAGACTGACCATGGTGGCTGTGGTACAATGTGCTGTGCAGACTGACCAAGGTGACTGTGGTACAATGTGCTGTGCAGACTGACCATGGTGACTGTGGTACAATGTTCTGTGCAGACTGACCATGGTGACTGTGGTACAATGTTCTGTGCAGACTGACCAAGGTGACTGTGGTACAATGTGCTGTGCAGACTGACCATGGTGGCTGTGGTACAGTGTACTGTGCAGACTGACCAAGGTGACTGTGGTACAATGTGCTGTGCAGACTGACCATGGTGGCTGTGGTACAGTGTACTGTGCAGACTGACAAAGGTGACTGTGGTACAATGTGCTGTGCAGACTGACCAAGGTGACTGTGGTACAATGTGCTGTGCAGACTGACCAAGGTGACTGTGGTACAATGTGCTGTGCAGACTGACCATGGTGGCTGTGGTACAATGTGCTGTGCAGACTGACCATGGTGACTGTTGTACAATGTGCTGTGCAGACTGACAAAGGTGACTGTGGTACAATGTGCTGTGCAGACTGACCATGGTGGCTGTGGTACAGTGTACTGTGCAGACTGACCAAGGTGACTGTGGTACAATGTGCTGTGCAGACTGACCAAGGTGACTGTGGTACAGTGTACTGTGCAGACTGACCATGGTGGCTGTGGTATATCATTGAGTATGCTTAAGAGATTAATGATGTTTTAGGCATGCTAGAAAAGGTTTAATGTGGTTGCTTCTGTTTTTGATTTTATGCCAAACACATTTCCAGTTAATGTGAGTTTGTGTTTATAGTTTGTAAAATGTTTCCTCCGTTACAGCGAAATGACATCTAGCTGCATGATATGTGTCATCATTATTGCTGTTCAGTCCTTATCAGCAGGACGAGTACTGCAGAAACTACTTCCTGCTGAATGGCTGCCTTTGTTTTACTGTTTGAATCTGCTGTCTGCATGCAGGTGACATGCAGCACCATAGCCATCCTGGTTAACACCATGTCACCGGGATCCAGCAGAATCTGCTGTCCACATGCAGGTGACATGCAGCACCATGGCCCTCCTGGTTAACATCATGTCACCGGGATCCAGCAGAATCTGCTGTCTGCATGCAGGTGACATGCAGCACCATGGCCCTCCTGGTTAACACCATGTCACCGGGATCCAGCAGAATCTGCTGTCCACATGCAGGTGACAATTGCAGCACCATGGCCCTCCTGGTTAACACCATGTCACCGGGATCCAGCAGAATCTGCTGTCCACATGCAGGTGACATGCAGCACCATGGCCCTCCTGGTTAACACCATGTCACCGGGATCCAGCAGAATCTGCTGTCCACATGCAGGTGACATGCAGCACCATGGCCCTCCTGGTTAACACCATGTCACCGGGATCCAGCAGAATCTGCTGTCCACATGCAGGTGACATGCAGCACCATGGCCCTCCTGGTTAACATCATGTCACCGGGATCCAGCAGAATCTGCTGTCCACATGCAGGTGACAATTGCAGCACCATGGCCCTCCTGGTTAACACCATGTCACCGGGATCCAGCAGAATCTGCTGTCCACATGCAGGTGACATGCAGCACCATGGCCCTCCTGGTTAACACCATGTCACCGGGATCCAGCAGAATCTGCTGTCCACATGCAGGTGACATGCAGCACCATGGCCCTCCTGGTTAACATCATGTCACCGGGATCCAGCAGAATCTGCTGTCTGCATGCAGGTGACATGCAGCACCATGGCCCTCCTGGTTAACACCATGTCACCGGGATCCAGCAGAATCTGCTGTCCACATGCAGGTGACATGCAGCACCATGGCCCTCCTGGTTAACACCATGTCACCGGGATCCAGCAGAATCTGCTGTCCACATGCAGGTGACATGCAGCACCATGGCCCTCCTGGTTAACATCATGTCACCGGGATCCAGCAGAATCTGCTGTCTGCATGCAGGTGACATGCAGCACCATGGCCCTCCTGGTTAACACCATGTCACCGGGATCCAGCAGAATCTGCTGTCCACATGCAGGTGACATGCAGCACCATGGCCCTCCTGGTTAACACCATGTCACCGGGATCCAGCAGAATCTGCTGTCCACATGCAGGTGACATGCAGCACCATGGCCCTCCTGGTTAACATCATGTCACCGGGATCCAGCAGAATCTGCTGTCTGCATGCAGGTGACATGCAGCACCATGGCCCTCCTGGTTAACACCATGTCACCGGGATCCAGCAGAATCTGCTGTCCACATGCAGGTGACGTGCAGCACCATGGCCCTCCTGGTTAACACCATGTCACCGGGATCCAGCAGAATCTGCTGTCCACATGCAGGTGACATGCAGCACCATGGCCCTCCTGGTTAAAACCATGCCATCGGGATCCAGCAGAATCTGCTGTCCACATGCAGGTGACATGCAGCACCATGGCCCTCCTGGTTAACACCATGTCACCGGGATCCAGCAGAATCTGCTGTCCACATGCAGGTGACATGCAGCACCATGGCCCTCCTGGTTAACACCATGTCACCGGGATCCAGCAGAATCTGCTGTCCACATGCAGGTGACATGCAGCACCATGGCCCTCCTGGTTAACACCATGTCACCAGGATCCAGCAGAATCTGCTGTCCACATGCAGGTGACATGCAGCACCATGGCCCTCCTGGTTAACACCATGTCATCGGGATCCAGCAGAATCTGCTGTCCACATGCAGGTGACATGCAGCACCATGGCCCTCCTGGTTAACACCATGTCACCGGGATCCAGCAGAATCTGCTGTCCACATGCAGGTGACATGCAGCACCATGGCCCTCCTGGTTAACACCATGTCACCGGGATCCAGCAGAATCTGCTGTCCACATGCAGGTGACATGCAGCACCATGGCCCTCCTGGTTAACACCATGGCCCTCCTGGTTAACACCATGGCCCTCCTGGTTAACACCATGGCCCTCCTGGTTAACACCATGGCCCTCCTGGTTAACACCATGTCACCGGGATCCAGCAGAAACTGTGTCAAGATGATAATGATACTAAGTGTTTTATTGAAAATATAGAAATTAGTGAGAATTAAGGATATCCAAGATTCTGTTATACTTAGGCAGTGGTGGGAGCTGTGAGTGTGAGTTGCTCACAGACTGATTCCGTTTGCAAATTCTTTCAAAAAAACATTGGACAAATTCTGTAGGGTGAAAGGTCACATGTTAATAACTCAAATTGGTCTGTGACTATATTTGTGTTTTCAAGAGTTTTAATACTAAACTGATATTAATTAAATGACCTGAAAAGGGGTCGATATAAATCAGGTAAAAGGTGACAACACATTGACTAAGACCGGCTTCCAGATGATACACTGAACAGAGTAATGATATGTGATGATTTGTTTCAGGAGCAGAGTTTTAAAAGTAGTGGTGAAATGAGGCTTTTTGTTGTTAGATAGATACGTATTGTAACCATTCAGTATTTAATTCTTTAAATATGTTGAACAGATGTTATACTGTTGATATATGTATATATTTATCAACTTCCTGCGTCAGCTAACTCTGCATGTACAGGTGCAGTCTGTGCACTGTGCCATCACACACACTTGACCAGCACCTCTGTCAGGGTGTACTGTACACTCAGCTTCCACATGGTCTGCCCCAGATGACCCTGTAATCCAAGTTCTGTGTGTGGAGCATATCTATATGCAGTATGTCTGAGTCAGCAGTAAAGTGTGGTCTGCCCTAGATGGCCCTGTGATCCAAGTTCTGTGTGTGTAGCATATCTGTATGTGATTGAAAAATATGAGCATGAATATTTTTTTGTTGAAAAACACCTCGCAAGAAAATCATTTTTTGCGCAGTCAGTTTATTTGGTACTCAAGAGTGAAATATGATTAGTTTTTTTCGAGAATTTACGTGGACAATATATTTTTTTGATAAAAAAAATCACAGCCCCCCCCCCCCCCAAAATAATCACAGCGTCCCCCCCCCCCCCCCCCCCAAAAAAAAAACAAAACAAAAAAAACAACCCCCAAACAAACAACAAATTAGGTATTTAAGTATGTACACTGCCTATATTCTATATTCCCTCCTGTGTGTTGTCACATATCACCTTGTCATTGTTGTCAACTATTGTTGATCTATTTACATTGTAACCAGCTTTTGTTACACAACATTGTTTATGTTTTGTATGCCACACTGTGATATAACTCTAACACTATATTTTATCTAGTACTTTACTGTCGTTGGACAAAATGCCTATGGGAATAAATGTTGTGTAGGGTCAGGATGTGTTCTTTTATTCGTCACCTGGACAGTTCCATATGTCACCATTAGTTGACATTCTCAGAAGCCCAAGTCCAACATTATACAAAACTTGGTTTATCTTTAAAATAGAACAAAGCCTTTTCTGACATGCGTACTGTGACACATGTAACATTCTGCACTGATAACAGAATTGGTATTTATTTCATCTACACAATTACGCAAACACTTGATGACAAATGACATAACAAATGACTGGTAGGGCTGTGTATTGGCAACAGGTTACACAAGCATTGGTTATCGATATATCAGTAAACCAAAGAATAGGCAATTGTGGCCATAATTACAAACTATTCTCATATCACTCAGACATAATCCCCTCACATCTAACAGACATACTCTCCTCACATCTAACAGACATACTCCCCTCACATCTAACAGACATACTCCCCTCATATCAGTCAGACATACTCCCCTCACATCTAACAGACATACTCCCCTCATATCTAACAGACATACTCCCCTCACATCTAACAGACATACTCCCCTCATATATAACAGACATACTCCCCTCACATCTAACAGACATACTCCCCTGATATCTAACAGATATACTCCCCTCACATCTAACAGACATACTCCCCTCACATCTAACAGACATACTCCCCTCACATCTAACAGACATACTCCCCTCACATCTAACAGACATACTCCCCTCACATCTAACAGACATACTCCCCTCACATCTAACAGACATACTCCCCTTACATCTAACAGACATACTCCCCTCATATCTAACAGACATACTCCCCTCACATCTAACAGACATACTCCCCTCACATCTAACAGACATACTCCCCTCACATCTAACAGACATACTCCCCTCACAACTAACAGACATACTCCCCTCATATCTAACAGACATACTCCCCTCATATCTACCAGGCATACTCCCCGCACATCTAACAGACATACTCCCCTCATATCTAACAGATATACTCCCCTCATATCTAACAGACATACTCCCCTCATATCTAACAGACATACTCCCCTCATATCTACCAGGCATAATCCCCTTACATCTAACAGACATACTCCCCTCATATCTAACAGACATACTCCCCTCACATCTAACAGACATACTCCCCTCATATCTAACAGACATACTCCCCTCACATCTAACAGACATACTCCCCTTACATCTAACAGACATACTCCCCTTACATCTAACAGACATACTCCCCTCACATCTAACAGACATACTCCCCTCATATCTAACAGACATAATCCCCTCACATCTACCAGGCATAATCCCCTTACATCTAACAGACATACTCCCCTCATATCTAACAGACATACTCCCCTTACATCTAACAGACATACTCCCCTTACATCTAACAGACATACTCCCTTGATATCTAACAGACATGCTCCCCTTACATCTAACAGACATACTCCCCTCATATCTAACAGACATACTCCCCTCACATCTAACAGACATACTTCCCTCACATCTAACAGACATACTCCCCTCATATCTAACAGACATACTCCCCTCATATCTAACAGACATACTCCCCTCACATCTAACAGACATACTCCCCTCATATCTAACAGACATACTCCCCTCACATCTAACAGACATACTCCCCTCATATCTACCAGGCATAATCCCCTTACATCTAACAGACATACTCCCCTCATATCTAACAGACATACTCTCCTCACATCTAACAGACATACTCCCCTCACATCTAACAGACATACTCCCCTCATATCAGTCAGACATACTCCCCTCACATCTAACAGACATACTCCCCTCATATCTAACAGACATACTCCCCTCACATCTAACAGACATACTCCCCTCATATATAACAGACATACTCCCCTCACATCTAACAGACATACTCCCCTGATATCTAACAGATATACTCCCCTCACATCTAACAGACATACTCCCCTCACATCTAACAGACATACTCCCCTCACATCTAACAGACATACTCCCCTCACATCTAACAGACATACTCCCCTCACATCTAACATACATACTCCCCTTACATCTAACAGACATACTCCCCTCATATCTAACAGACATACTCCCCTCACATCTAACAGACATACTCCCCTCACATCTAACAGACATACTCCCCTCACATCTAACAGACATACTCCCCTCACAACTAACAGACATACTCCCCTCATATCTAACAGACATACTCCCCTCATATCTACCAGGCATACTCCCCGCACATCTAACAGACATACTCCCCTCATATCTAACAGACATACTCCCCTCATATCTAACAGACATACTCCCCTCATATCTAACAGACATACTCCCCTCATATCTACCAGGCATAATCCCCTTACATCTAACAGACATACTCCCCTCATATCTAACAGACATACTCCCCTCACATCTAACAGACATACTCCCCTCATATCTAACAGACATACTCCCCTCACATCTAACAGACATACTCCCCTTACATCTAACAGACATACTCCCCTTACATCTAACAGACATACTCCCCTCACATCTAACAGACATACTCCCCTCATATCTAACAGACATAATCCCCTCACATCTACCAGGCATAATCCCCTTACATCTAACAGACATACTCCCCTCATATCTAACAGACATACTCCCCTTACATCTAACAGACATACTCCCCTTACATCTAACAGACATACTCCCTTGATATCTAACAGACATACTCCCCTTACATCTAACAGACATACTCCCCTGATATCTAACAGACATACTCCCCTCACATCTAACAGACATACTTCCCTCACATCTGACATACATACTCCCCTCATATCTAACAGACATACTCCCCTCATATCTAACAGACATACTCCCCTCACATCTAACAGACATACTCCCCTCATATCTAACAGACATACTCCCCTCACATCTAACAGACATACTCCCCTCATATCTACCAGGCATAATCCCCTTACATCTAACAGACATACTCCCCTCATATCTAACAGACATACTCCCCTCATATCTACCAGACATACTCCCCTCATATCTAACAGACATACTCCCCTCATATCTAACAGACATACTCCCCTCACATCTAACAGACATACTCTCCTCATATCAGTCAGACATACTCCCCTCACATCTAACAGACATACTCCCCTCACATCTAACAGACATACTCCCCTCATATCTAACAGACATACTCCCCTCATATCTAACAGACATACTCCCCTCACATCTAACAGACATACTCCCCTCATATCAGTCAGACATACTCCCCTAACATCTAACAGACATACTCCCCTCATATCTAACGGACATACTCCCCTCATATCAGTCAGACATACTCCCCTCACATCTAACAGACATACTCCCCTTACATCTAACAGATATACTCCCCTCACATCTAACAGATATACTCCCCTCATATCAGTCAGACATACTCCCCTCACATCTAACAGACATACTCCCCTCATATCAGTCAGACATACTCACCTCACATCTAACAGACATACTCCCCTTACATCTAACAGATATACTCCCCTCACATCTAACAGATATACTCCCCTCATATCAGTCAGACATACTCCCCTCACATCTAACAGACATACTCCCCTCATATCAGTCAGACATACTCCCCTCACAACTAACAGACATACTCCCCTCACATCTAACAGACATACTCCCCTCATATCTAACAGACAT